TACTTCACGCTGCCCATGAATTAAAAACAGTTATCTATCGTGATTGAAATTATGCTTGGTCGCTGTGTTTTAATCATGAATAATAAAGGTTGATGTTCTTCTGCGATCCCTAAGATAATGTGATCATTCTCCAGGGTGCAGTCGAGGGGATTTCGCACCTCCATGGGTCGTATTTTTTAAGGTAAATCACTTCAGCAAAAGTATCACCACAATTCGTTCAGTTTCTCCAAACGATAATATCATCGTCACCATACGATAAACTTGTGTGGTTCGATGATCGAGAAATAGTGGGAAAGGGGGGGGGGGGCGGTGATCGCATTTCGTGAACTATTTCATGATTAATAATGTTCGACTGTGCTGTCGATGCGATATACGTTCCCATTACATAGCCCAAAAGGCCGCGGTATTTGGATCCTGAACGCACTACTTAACTTTTCACAATTTTTGGATCCCAAGAAAACTGTCCATGAAAATCAATCGCAAAACTTTCTATACGTTGCCCCTATACTGCTTACAACAGTTCTTCCTTAGTATGTGCAACAAGTTTTAGATTCAGCGATGAATGCATTTTGTTGTGCGTAACCGCCACCCTCTCTTTGTCTACGAGTAAACGTGCAAGATAGGGAACAGGTGAATTTCGGTAAACGCTTTTACGAGATGGCATTTGTTGGAATTGAGAGCGTGTGGAAGAATGGGAACGACAACTTTTCAGTTCTGCGAGAATCATCTCCGCGAATTCGACACAGGAAGTTGTACGATAATCTGAGAGTTTCACAATTAATTTATTCAAAACAACGGAAGAAACTCGGTCAATAATAGCTAGACCACGGCGTAAGACTTTGGAATCTTGTCGAAACAAGCCAAGAAAAATTACTGGGGAAAAATCAAGTAAGACAGGGAAAACACTGTTATAAAAAGGTGGAAATAACTGACGGGAGGAGAACAAAAGAATTTGAACAAAACTGTCCGTGGAGAAGCTTAGATTGGAGGAAGAAAACATGGTTCGGCACACGACATCATGTACAGGAGAAACACAAGGAATATCACAAATATACGTGGAAAATAAGTATGGGGACAGCACAGCACCTTGAGGAATTATGGAGTTGTGGATCAAAGGCTTAGATCAAGCCTTTCCAGGTCTAGGGGTTTGTTCTCTGTCAGTAAAATAACTGGACAGCCAAACTAACAATTGCTTGAGGCATTTAAACAATTCCAGTTTTTGTCACAACTTTTATCGAGGAATGGAAACAAATGCTAGAGAATACTCAATTAAAACACCGAACAGTCATTCAAAGAGTTAGTCGTAAAATGAATAAGGATGGAGACAGTGGATCTGTTAGGCTCATGAGCAAATTGAAACGGAACGCTGGGAATGTTCACAGACTGCCGGAGGCGTTTGGCGATAGCTTTTTCAGTCAACTTAAAGTGAGATGTTGACACTATAGGATGAAAGTTTTTAGAGAGGACAGAAGATTTTGAAGCATTGGGGGGGGATGCGATTTTGACCGGCCTCCGACAGCCTGAGATAAAAGAAGTGGAAAGTGATTCAGTTTCAGTTTCATTTTGTACAACTATGCATCTCCGCGAGGCGGTTTGGTTTCTGTCTTTTGGATGAAGAATAGGAGAAAGACAGGAAAGTTGAAAGTAGAATCGAACAGAAAATGAAGAATTTCAGTGGTCTAAGGTCTCAAAAAAATTGAGAAGATGCACGAACGCCACTGTTTACGACACTCAGCCATATCACTCATTTATAATGGAGGTGGTTCCCACAGCTTGTAAAGTGGCACCAAAATTTGAACAATGCCAGAGGTAAACCATCCGGACCTACAACAGAGAACGGTTTACAACTACTTAAAAGTTTTAGCACATCACAACTGGAGATCAGTGCTTTAAGCAGGCAGGAGGAATGTTCGACAACTGGCGCACGAATATGGAATTGAGAACGTCATTATCAACATTCATCTTCGACCGCACTTTCTACCTATCACAGAGAAGTCTGATACCTTAGCACGAGTGCCTTTTGTTTCCAGTCCTCATAAGTTGGTCGGAGAATAGTGCACACAATCTATTTATTTCAGCTTTGAAAAGACTGGACAAGCGCCCGACAGTTGTAGCATAATGAGACTTACACGAACCTTACTTTTAACTTCACATTTCAGCAGTAGAGAGGTTATCTTTCCGTTGAACACATACAGACTTTTGACAGAGGAGCAGTAATTATAGATGGCATTAATTGTTTAAGTGAATGGGGGGACACTCGTGAATGGAGATAGAGATGACGAAAACGGTAAAGAAGCCTGCCTCAGAGGTTCTTTGAGAAGAAAAACATTTATGGGTGCCAAGTTGCGAGAAAGAAATCTGATGTGGTCAGATCGAAAGAAATATTTACATGCCCAGTGTGAATAAACTTTAGGTGGAACTGAGTGAAAGTAGTGGTCACTAGTGACAATTGGTGGTTTCAGTGCTAAAGAATTGGGAGGTCGGTGATTACTTTGTCCGGCATAGAGTTACCTCTTGAGGGAGAGTGAAAAAGATCTATCATATCTAATGATAAAATAGGATATAAGTATTAGTATGGTTAAAGTCTCCAACGATTATGTGTAAGTTAACATTTAAAAGCGGGACAATAAAAGGTATAAATGAGTCGAAGAATGAGATACGATCTGATTGTGTACAGCAAGATGCTGTGTATAAGTCAGTGAAAATTGTGTGAGTAAAACGGGAAAATTTTGGGTGACATTGCTTTCAATGCCTTTTGAGCAGTACTGAAATGAATGAAGTGGATAAATTAAACAGTAGACATAAATTTTAGACAAGCCCATAGACGGAGTGCTTTGGGTTGAACTCATGGGGGACGCTAGACAGAGCAATCTGCCTTCGCGGTGCTTGCTATACTGACATTATTAGCATCTAATGGATTAAGTAGTATAATACACCAGTGTGAAATTGCCTCCCGTTTGGCTTCTGATTGATGAAATTCCACAATGATCAGATTCTCCCAATACGAATGAGTTTTCCGGAACATCATATTGATGTCGAATGCCAATACAACCAACGTTTCCGTCTCAGGCATACAAATATCACGCCTAACTGCAGAATCCATAGTTATAAACATAAAAGTGTGATATCACTGGAAATGATAGGATTTCTATCTTGACAATACTTTGTTGTTTCTCAAACAAATCTAAGTTGTCTAAACCAGTACTTTCGATGACCTTAGGAAGAGCTGATTTTGTACTTTTTCCTGATATTCAATCAGTTACTGAAATGATCGATCGCGTTTCGGAATATAGAAAAACACCGATAAGACCGACGAATAAAAACGGCACAAAAATAGGACCCACTTTGTTCAGCGAGTGGTCCTCAAAATAACT